TCCATGATCTCTTTTATGTCTTTCAAAAGCAAAGCCTGGACGATTGACGCGAGGAGTAGGTGTCTCAGAGCATGACAACTTATGATCTTGTCCCGCGATCCAAGGAAGTATTAGAGACTAGAGACAGCTAAGCGCATAAACGGCGAATTGACTCAGCAACACTCGACGCAACGGCGCCTTGTTCATGCGGGAAAAAGACTCGGACAAGCTCAAAGTGCGTTGCTGCACAATACGGACAAGTGAAAACGTTACATTGTGCGCCAGTTACAGCGAAAGAGTTGACATTTCGCGCGCCGGTTTGTCATAATTAAGGCAGGGGAACAATGACCATTGTCCGAATATGCGAAAAAAATTCACCTGGCACGATGTATCGGCACAATACCTAGCGCCTTATTATCGACATCCTCCTTCCGGACCTCACATGGCGTTGCCAGGAGCCAGGTACTCGGGCGTGACCTTCTCTAGCTGTTCTTCTCTCCCTTCAAAGACGAATCCTAATCTTGTTACTTTATCTCCGTGAAAAATTGAGCAATCTCACAGTCGCTGGACTCGAACGTGATGTAAACAAAACGGTCGCAGTCTCTCTCAGTCGGAAAAAGCATGATTATAAAATTATTTAAAAATTATTTATCAAGTGAACATATTTTTTTGAATACTTGTTATTATCTATATATTGGTCGCGTGCTAAGCAAGAAATTGTAGGAAACGTCAATACAATTTATTCTACGGTATCTGTGAGAAAAATATAAAGAAGAAGTCGGTGGTGATCGATATTATTATATGGTATGATATTCAGCCAAGGTAAAAAGTCAGATAAGGCACGCCGTTAACCTGGAAACGAATTATTATTACACTATCCTAAATTCGATTTTCCTTGTTCCTTGACAAATGTTCGCGTGCCCGTCGATTTTGAATCGATTCGCTTCCTCTTTCTGCTTATTCTTTCTTTTGCGCGGAATTATGCCGTGACAGGTCGATGTCAAGTACAAGGGACGTCGTGCTGGATGGTACGACCCCATCGCCTTGGTATTCGCCGAAATACTTTCACCGTGCCATCCACCGCGAACTCCCACGAGATTAATCGATGTTTGCCATGACGCCGAGAAACAAGATCGCCTTTATCTTTTGCCTGACGCTATTTTAATCTTCGGCGTCTTTTAGCACGACGAAGCTCGCGAGATACTATTTGCATGAGAAAAATGTTCTTTTCTTTGTAATATATTTCTTTCTTATTTCTTATGTAATCCAAAAATATTTTTTAAAACCTCATCGAGTTTTTATAAATAATTTTTGACAATTTTAGAATCGGTCGTATCTAAATCGTGAATCGTATTGAATCATTGAAGATTTACCATTAAATATTAACGTTAATATTATACAATCTTTCATCATCACAGAAATTATTTTTTACCTATGATTGTCCAAAGGATGCGGCAGAATATATTCACAAACGGCCGAGATCTGAAGTTCTCACATGTATCTGCGTAACTACTAAGTACTTGGAGCACAAAATGAATTGACGGCTGTCCCTTAACGGCTGACTCACCGTAAGATGCGTGAAAAATGACAATGAGCCATGTGAATATGTAATTGATGAGAACAACACCGTAGTTTTCCACAAAAGCCGTCGCTGCCTCACAGAAGCGTTAATTCCGCTTATTGTAGCGCTAGGCAAAGTGGATAATGTCGGTGCCGCGACCTTATTTCCTAGGATGCGTCGATTAACCGACGCGGATATACCTCGAGAGGCATACGCGCAAATATACGTCAGTTCCGATGTACTCGCGTTGTCGGTCAGGCCCCATGAATGTTATAATCAGCGTACATCGCGCCTTGATGATAGACCTCGGCACCATTTATCCTCGGGGCCCCGATAGTAGCCCCGTCGTCGGTCCCGTCATTCAATTGTCCGATAATCTAATAGAAAAGCCAGCGGTTAACGATCCTCTCTCCCCTTTTTCTCTCTCTCTCTCTCTCTCTCTCTCTTTCTTTTTCTATTCCTCTACGTGAGAAAAATGATCTACAAGCGTGATACCGTAAACCTATTTTCAGTCGCGAAATTGCGCCTCGTAAAAAGCGCGTGAGGCGCATAGCGGAACATTGTCCATAACCGCGTTCCTCTTCTCCCTTCCCCCCCATCTGGCTCGATGGCACGGCGTTTTCTTCGGGATGCAGTTGGTGCACGCAACGCTGGCAAATCACCGTCTCGGATTAGTTGCGTTTCTCGACAAGTCGAATCATCCACTTTAATTGGTTGCGCTTGGAGAAACCTTCGGTGAACTTGAAAACGTATGGAGCAGTTTAAGATTATTGTCCGATCGTTTGATCCCTTAAGTGAATTAACACACGCGAGCTGTAAGAAGATGAGTTTAGCAAAATTCCAAAGGTTAATTTGAGAAATTGGTACATACATTATTATATAATGACGGATGGAACGGAAAAATATTAAATGTTCCTTCGAACTTGCATAAGCACTGTAAACGATTCGGTTCTTGCATGACTTTGATCTTATAAGCGTAACGTTGTTATACCTCTTATTTTCTCGATTTTAAATAGCGAGACTTCTCGACAATCCAGTCTTGCACTCAGCCTTTCGACACGCGTTTTCTTCATCGCGTTTTTTTCGTCGCGATAATCCAGGAAGTAGCTCGCGTTACCACGCAAAAATTCATCCATTTTCCTTGGCTCTTTGGAGAGCAAGTTGCCGCACACACGACGTATTGCTACTTATATCATGCTGAGCAACCATAAGCACGTCTTGCGATGACAGAAGCAAGAAAAAAGAAACGTAAACCACCGTCGCGTTTGAGATACAGCGCCGATCGTTTGCGGTGCCTTGCTGAACGCGAAGCAGGTTGATGGTCTAATTAACGCGAGTTTTTTAGTGCTCGCGTTAATATAGGTAGACCCGCAGAGGCGTCATACACACGTCATGCCGGCATATTTCCCGGCGCACCCATCCTGTCCCCTACAGGACAATCGCCGCTTCCTACGGGTCCGATTGATTATATCCTTGTTACTCGTGCTCGCGTCTTGTCTCGCGGCTACCTTTCGCGAGAGACGTGGGGGACGTGGGCACCGCGCCCGACATTTATTGACATGATCGCGGCGCCGAGATACAATGGAACACAAGGCGTGAGATATGGGAAAATAAAAATGTGCGGATAACTAATAATCGACCCTTTATTATTAACTTACAGTCCTATACTGAACCGGACTCGATAACGTTTATACTGTTTTGCGGCGGCCTCCTGATGGCACAATTCCTCAAGTATTCGAATCGATGCATAATTACAAGCAAACTAAATTTTTCATAAACTCCAAATAATAGAACTTCTTTGATCTGTATTAAATCCGCTGATTAGATATTGAGGAGGAAATACTCGAACTTTGTTCATAAGTGAAAAATAATTTATTTTGTGGCAAATAATTGGAAGAATTAAAATGTTGCCTGACACAAGGCTACTGTTGATTTACTTATCAACAAAGTCCTATTTTTTACAATTGATATTTAATTTTATATTCGCTGTAATCACTATACGTAAAACCGACGAGAAGATCTGTAACCTGTGAAACCTCGATTGAGCGCTTAAAAAGAAATAAAGTGAGAGATTGCAAATAAACGTTCAATAATCTGCGTGTTCAATGAAGATGTATCCTGCATTAGTGATGCAGCAATAAACTAACAGAAGATTTCACAAAATCTAGTCGCGCGCGCAGCTCCCCGACATTTCTATCAACTTCTCGCTGATATGCAATCATCCGAGATGTAATAACGCGGAAACGTCCATTCATCATCGTGATAGTCCAACGCGCGAGATGCAACGCCACGCAATGGAGGCCGTGCGTCATTAATTAAACCGGAACGTCATTTCCTTGATCGCGAATTAACGATTTCTTACTATTATCCGTTAATTCGAGACGAGCGGAACGTACGATTATTTATTCTGCAATATCATTTTGTAAATTTGCTTATTACACCGAGAAATGTTATATACATAACATATACAAGTATCCGGAAAATAAATTTTGAAATTAAATTGATACAGGTTTCAGTCTTGCTGCATATCCAAGAAATTGATACATGTATATTCCGAGAAATTCAAACAAAGTTTGCAAAATAATTACAATATTTAATCCGGTTGATACCTAAAGTGATGACGTTGTGACGGTAGAGTCTTTCGTTTAACTTATTTGATCCCAGGCTTCCGTCGTTAATTCTATAAAACAAGGGCAATCCTTCTCGGAGCTGGGTCGTATTCTTTGACCGACTGAAAAAACGGGGGCGCGCACGGGGCACGCGCCGTTCCCTAAGTGATATTGCGCCTCTAATTGTGAACCGCCCGCTCTGTTCCCCCCGTCTCTGAAGCAATTGGAGAGAAAACGGAAGCGCTTCATATTCCTAATTACTTTACCAATTCTCCCTGGTTTCTTTTTTACCCCTTTCTCTTTAGCTTGTACGCACGCGACAATGCGCGCGTGCCGCACGCACCGCGCCTCGTTAAGCGGAAATCAGCGCGGATTTGCACCCGTAAATTGCATCGTCTGCGTTCTCCATCTTCGTTCGTTCGTCGGCACATTAGCTTATCGAGATTGGAGCTCGGGATGTCGTACTTGTCCGATTCGATTTCACCGTTGTCGATTTCACCATTGTCAGCGTCTACCGCATGTAGTTCATCTTGGTCTTGAAGAAACGATTGCGAGAAACGTTATCTGAGAGTATCGGTGAACATATGTATCTAAAAATATTTATTATAGTTATAACTAAACCCCCTATATCAACATCTGGCCACACGACACTTTTCTTCTTTCTACGTATCTAATTGTAAGAAATTCGAAAAATGTGCTGTAAAGAAAAAGGAGGAAAGTTTCTTTCTGAACTTAATCCATGTGTGTATAAAAAAAACATATTTATCCAAATACTACCTTTTAATTTTTTAATCTCGATTCTTTAATCTCTCCTCGATCTTTCTGCTTATTGTTTTGTCTTTCGTTTTTAGGGTGTTGAAACCGCCCGGTGGCGGCAGCAGCGATATATTCGGCGCGGCCCCGGAAGAGACGAGCCCGCGGCGCATCAAGTCCCACAATCAGTCCCAGTTGGGCTCGGCCCTCTTCGGCGACATCAACGGCACCGACCGCACCGACAACGCGAATGCTGCCGTGTCGCCGCGCAGCAACAAGCCCGGTAATGATTCATACAAACGCCTGTTTGGCCCCCCTGATGCCCCACCCACCCCAAACGCGAGAAATCACATGCGCAGCAATATTCCCCTCAGCGGGGGATCGTCGATCTCGTCGTTATCGTCAGCGACATCGCCTGCGAAGAGCACGGCCAGCAGCAACTCGATGTCGCGCATCATAGCCAACGGCTATGCCAGCAACGGCAGCAACTCTTCCAATGATATGACAGGTAAGGGCCCGTGGCGAACGAGGAAGCGGTAGCAAAGTCTGTCCCGGGGTGGGCAACAGTTGTCTGTCCACTTTCTCTCGATATAACCTGATTATATATCGGTAGCGATATCTCTAATTAGTAATTCGATGATACTGCAAGCTATTTAATATTTAAATTACTACATCTCTTCTATGACATTGTTTTTCCAGTAACTTTAATTTATGAAATTTTTTGTGAATTATTTACTTTGGAATATTAAAAGAAAGTCCAACATTCGATAGCTTTATAGATAATGATGATTGATCGTCATTGGAAAATGTGCAGATATGCCGCCCCGGGACTCTTTAAACTGTTTCCACATTCAGGTGATGTTCCTTTCTAAGAAACGTGCCCGAATATCAAGGGACGACGATCCTGATCTAAGTTGAAATATGTGTGTGTCGCAGGCTCTTGGCGTAAAAATCGCTTTCCGTTCTGATTATCACGCTCTTGTCACGACGGGATGTATAACTTTCTCATCGGGAACGTATTCGGTCTCGTAGGAATTCACGCTCGTTAAAAGTACACGCGCAGGCAAACTTTGCATTTTTAAAACAATTTTCCTATCTTTCGCGCAGAGTAAAGAGAGACCAAAGATATTCCGTTATTTCGATTACGCTATTGATCAATTGATAGCGCAGCGTTCCGATGTTATCTTTTGCTATTCGTGAAATCATGCCTAATGAGATCAACGGCGAAAGTCCTTCGGTCGGACGCTAAATCGATATGCTCTTTTTGCACAAACCGAGTTATCGCCGAGTCGGCTTTCGGCCCGTCGATGCGGAGCTAGCGAGACACCAAGAATTCTAAATGAATATCACTGTTTAATATATACCCCCATTTTTTTTAAATATATGTCACTTTCCTTGAACTGTTCGCAAGCAGCTTTTAGGAGAAACAAAAGATTTCGTAAGTGTGTAACGAGACATTCAAGTAGATGACACACGACACTACCACACTTTCTAGTTTGATCATAATTAAACGCGGAAAATCGCTCGGGAAAATGATTTCTCTCGTAACGCGACGAACAAAACGATAGAAACTCTCATCGCGAAAAATTTACCGTCGCGGTGAAAGAAATAAACGTTTGGTTTGCCGTTATTTTCTTAGAGAATTTGCATCATGTATCTTTAACATCATCACGTTATTGTAGGGCCTGCCACTAAAGTAGGAACACATATTTTGAGTTAGACATGCCATATTATCGCTTAGGCCTTCGTACCGTACATTCTGCTAGTAACATTACATCTCGCTTTACGTCAAATTATTATTTATATTGGTTCCCACACACGATTCGCTCACTTGTGATGAACTCATAGTAAACGACATTGAGGAGCAGCAAATTATGGTGGAAATGGGAAATTTATGCTCGACCTGAGTAGTAATTTTTAAAATATTACTTTGTCGACGCACAATCCTGTCTCTACAGGTATTAAATGAATAGATCTGGTGAACTAGGAATGCACTGTGGTTTTATAAAATTTATCATCGAGCAAAACTTTGAGAGGCAGTTTTTCAAAAGAATTCTTTGCAAAAAAAATATTTCGATGTCGTTTGCGAGATGTCATTCACGAATTACCGCAGATGAGGTGCACCAATTCAAAACTCAATCGTAATACATTTATTTGCAATAACTTTCAATGCGTTTAACAAGCACGCACAGCCGCGAGACATTTTTCCACGATAACACCGGCATATTAATTAATAATCGGAAAGATTCGATCGACGGTATACGTGTCGTCGCAGAAATAAAAAATATCAAAGCGAAATTTTTCTTCCTTTTTTATAACCGGCACAACACGCGTGCGACTTGTTTTGCTTTCTCACGATACCACTACTGTTTCTGTATTTGTACTGTTGTAAATATTTCATTCCTTCTTTCTTCACAACTTGAGCACAACACACACCGTTTCTATTTTGCTTTCATCTTAATTTTTGACGTACGGACGAATTCAAGATATCGAAAACGCCCTTTGACGAACAGATGTCGAATATCATTAAATTGAGAGCTTGATGTCACAAACATAAATCTAAAAGACATAATATTTTTATATATATAGAAAATAAATTATTATTTCGTATTTAGGTAACAGTGTAAAAGTATAAAAAGACGTATTCGCAACGTATAGAAATATGCAAGATTTGTTTAGAGTTTCGATAATTTTCTCGAGGAGGGAGAACGTTAGTACGATATCTGCGATCCGTCCGTACGAATTGCTGCGTATTAACACAAGTTGGTTGGGTTACGGTTGTGGGTTTTGCGACGATGTTACGGTGCATGGGGTGAAACGGTGAAATGGCTCTGTGGGTTCTTGCGCACGTCGCTTCGCGCGCACGTGGCGGTGAAAACGTGGGCGAACCGCACCCCCGTCGCCGCGTCCCTTCGGCTTCGGCAGGAGGATTGCCGGCGCGCAACCCGGTCACCGGAGATGGAATCGAGGTGACGCCCGTGAGGCGCATCCCACGAAAGTATCGAGGTAACGTTCACTAATTATCCGATTCTGTGATTCTTCGAATATTCCTTAATCCCTTTCTCAGGACACGCGTCTCGATTTTTCCTGCTCCCTGTCAAAGTAAATTATTAGCGCCGATGTGACAGATCGAGATTTAATTATTTTGTATCTCGATTTATCTGACTAACAAAAATATATAGACTATAAGTAAATTTAAGTAAAAATGTGAATTGCAAATTTAATTTGCCAAATAATTTTATATATCTATACGATTTTTTAATTGGCAAGCAAGTGACATTGTTGACTCTCACTTTTTTAATTCTTTCAATCTTTTAAAGCGATTCTTGTGAAAGGTATTTCAGAATTAATATATTTTAATATATTTTAATGTGTAAAATATAAGTTAGATTTAATTAAGTTTCTATAAGTATTATAAAATTTTTATATATATACATATAATTTATTTAGAACTATTGTTAATTAAAACCTGAATGAAATTGCTTTTTAGTCTTTCTATCTTTTCAATCTTTCAAGTTGCCTTATTAAGAGATACTTATCTAATCAAGCCAGTTTTCCAAACGCGAATATTTGAATGGAGGAAAATTAGTTACCATCAGTAGAATTGCGTTTTGGAACGCGGATTCATAATTGAATACATCCGCTAATAAATTCGTGCTAATTGTAAGTGTAAGAATGTAAATGCCTCGTTATCTTGTAGCACGCGCAGCTCGTGAATCGCGCTAAATAACAAAATGTAATTACAAAATGTAATAACCGTACGAACATAAATATTTATACGAAGAGAATTTAATTAAACCGCATGCTCTCGTATTTTTCGCGAGCGTTCAAGGAGGTCTCGAACGCAATCTTGCAAGATTGAAACGAGAGCTCTGATGTTGCAAACACATCCACGATAGGTAAAAGGACTCTGGTTCGTGGAAACGTCCTCTCGCGAACGAGATCCCGAACGTAGCGAATTGTTTATCGAGCGGTGTGGAATTACGAGCGTGGTGTACCGTTATACGTCTTTCGCCTTGTTTAATCGCGGGACGGCGTTTAATACGGTAATAGGGTCCGTCTATCGTCGCCGGGAAATACGTTTGGTATGGACTGTCGCCGCACAAATTGAAATCCACGGAGAGGTACCGATACCGTGCTATTTACGTTTCGAGTGTCCGCGTGACGTGTATCGTTCATTGAACTTGAAAGTTCGAAAGTGCGTCACTTTGCCAAGTGATAAGACAATCGACGAGACTTTTCAACAATTAATAATTATTTACTGCAAAACTAAAAGTCAGTGATATCATTTTGTAAAAAGAATACAAAAACGGTAAAAGATAATGACATTAACGAATTCATATTCGCGTTATTCGTGCTCGTGTCCATTTCCCATTTCATTCTTGTATACTACAAATTTGGAGTCATTCGAATTTATTGAAGATTCGCTTAAAAATTGCTCGGAAAAAATTGTCAGACGACATTTAAATATAATCGACGAGTATTGGGCGAGTTTTCACTCGCGCCTCGTGTCCCGGAGTTTGCGGGACGCTACGGTAAGTTCATGCGATCATGCTAAGAGCGTAATGAATAAGTAACTTATCGTATATATCGTTTTTCTATTGTGTCTTCTCGTAGTTTATTGCAGGTGTTAATCCGGTTCGTAGACGATACACGAATTTGTTGCTCGATGGTTTTACGACTGATTGAAATGTGTGCTTAATTGCCTGTGAAATTGAGCAACTCCTATCTCTCTCTCCTTGGTCCCTCGAGATAAGCTCTGATCTGGTGCGACAACCACGGTTGTACGTAACCAAACTAGTTGAAGAATGACGTCCTAAGACGTATTACTTGAGGGACTATATCCTCGTAGTAGTGTGCGTGTGAATGTGTACGAGACGGCAGCATGTGTGGGTTTCGATCAGAATTTTGGAATCTGTCAACGTCTTCTGTCAGACGCGTAGGAACTTATCGATAAAATCGATTAATAAATTACGTGCCTGACGTAACTTATTATCTCTCTCTCTCTCTCTCTCTTGTCGATTCCCTTACGCAAGATTTGCTCCGAAAGGGAAATCGCCTTTAATTAAAGTATTGAGAGTTCCTACGCTCTGAATCATTTGCATGCCAGAAATTTGCGTGTTCGACGATGTAGAAATGAAACAGCTCGTGGCTACTCAATTTTTCATACTTCAGATCTGTCTTTACGAATAGAAAAATCTTTATGTAACGTGCATTACCCGAGATAGCACGATTGTTTTTTTTTACAAAACTTGTTTACATAAGTGCCTCTATTCCCTATAAATAACGCAGTGCAATTTATTCCTCAGAAAAATTTGAAAACCATTATTATTAGTAGGCAAAAACACGCAATATCTATTTATGAAATTGTGGAAATTGTTATATATCACTAGATCTGTCTTGAAAACAGTGACGTGTCTTATCTCGCCGGGGAGATAAAAACACCTCTTAGTATTTAAAGCCTCGATAATTAGTGCAAAATTTTTTATCTTAGCTAGCAGAATTTAGACGTCGATTAACTTTAAACAACCTTCAGTGGCCAAATTTTAGAAAGACAAACATTCGAGCCATAGCGATTAAAGTCAATATCGCCGTCGTATTAGTAGTTAACTCTTAACTCGGTCATCGAGCGAGAAGGTCGCGGTGCCAGAAAAAAATATTGGATGACCAAATAGTCTGGATATTAGAATCAATCGAGCTTCTTTTACGACGATTCCACTAACGAATAAAACAAACCGTTTCCGCAGATGGCAACCCGGTAACCGGAATCGGCTACGCGTCCGAGGCACAGAAGAACGGACCGGCCATGCAGAACGGAATCGCCAGCTCGAATTCCAGCAGCAGCGGTGAGAAGTCGCACGACACATCGCCGGCAGCGGCGAAGCCGCCGGCGCGCACCCGCGTTCCACCTGGTGGCTATTCATCCGGACTCTGGTAAAGGGCGACGTCGCCATCGGGGTCGTCGCGTCTCCCTCCCCTCTCCGGAGGAGGACACCCCGATTAATTCTCACGGCCCTGTACTCTTAACCCATTAAAGCCCGCAATTCACCTAGAGCCTTCTAATCGTCGTCCGTAGAGCGTTCCGAGCGGAAGTCTATTTTGCCACCGTATACCTGCAACGACGGATAATATCTTTTCTATGATTTTTCTAGAGATAACGTACCGAGAGGCGAGATAATAAATCGTGGGCTTTAGTGGATTAACGTTACACGTCATTCTCTTTCGCTTTGTACTAATTCAAATATACAGAAATACACAGAAAGGAGTAAGAATAAACGTCTTTAGGCCTCTTAATTCTCGGATGATGAATAACTCTTTTGGCCTTCGGAGAGATCAACCGTTATCAAATTACAATTGATTTCGGATGTAATACGTGTTGATAATCAATCGCTTTTTTCAAACAAAGATATTCAGCGATGTCCGTTGTTTATTGTCAGGGTCGAAGGGGTTCAACAACAGAACGGACGAAAGTAATAATAAAATCGTGGATCCCCCAAATATTCCGCAACACAGAAACGAGTGGTGAGTCGCGTTCGATCAATAACGATAAAGACCGTGTGTTTAAATTTATCGAGATTAGAAATTTATTTCACATAAGATTAATTACGTCGAATGAGAAATAAAATTAGAAAATAAAGACAGAAATGTCTCCAGATATTTAAGCATCTGCAGATTTCTTCAGCAAAGACGGGAGCGCGCGCAAGGGTGAACAGATATCCCGGGTTCTTCGAGCATAAATTACCAATCCTTCAATTAGCAACTTTAGCACAGGCTTTATCGCGTAACTGTATAAAGGTAGTTAAAGCGATCATCGCGCGTAAAGTGTACTCTTTCGCGGCTGGAACGTTGCGCCGGTCGGCGAACGATTCGCAAGTCGTAAATCACTTCGCTAGGAAGCGTGATTTCCTATCGGCAACGATTTACATATAATGAATCATATGAACAAGCGGGGAAGAGCACGTAGCTCTCTTGATGGAAGTGAAAGCATTTGTTTTAGAATAGAAAAAGCATACGGTAAGGTAATATCTCTGCAGATATACTCGTATGGGCCGTAGAGACTCGCGATCCAACAGTCTAGGATAAACGATAAACCTGAAGAAAAAAAATTTCGCATCTTGAAATGCTTGTTGATAAACGCTTCTTCGTCGTCTTTGCTGCATTAATCAATAAACCAATCTTAAAAGTATGATATAAAAAGTTTATTATGCATTTTCTGTGCAGCGTTTTATGATATTCGATTCGTTGATATTTGTCAACTTAAGAGCTCCGATATTTTCGTCCATATTTTTCGAAGTGCTTGGCTTCGATAAGTAGGTTGCTCGTTTTATTCATGCGACCCGAGTGATCTGTTTCGTTACTGTCGACCAATTGCGGCATTTTGCTCGTTCCAGTGTTGCACGTCAATCCGTTTAATTGAAGAATCCGCTCTCACCTCGAGGTGAAGGGCAATAATACGTATGTTCACGTACACGCGTACAAAAGCGTACCAAGATTGTTAAGACCTACGATCTTTAGTATACTAAGTATACAACGCGGCGTTGATTAGGAGCGAGAACAGAAAAAAAAGTCATTGCACCAATCAATCCTGCCAAGCGTCGAAGAGATATATCGATTAAAAAAAAAAGCGTCAGAATAACACGTAATTAATAGAACAATTAACACTTTGAATGGAGTAACCGTTGATTCGTGGTACTGTTGAAAAAAGAAGGGGGATGAAGAATTCAAGTCACGAACGACTGGAACGTGAGAGGAATGGACTGAAAAGTAGCAGCGCGTTTGACAATGAAATTCAAACGAGATGGTGACCTCGGAATTGTACATTAGAAGTAGGCATGTGTTATTTCGAGAAATAAAAGTGTATCATGTATAACCCATTAAAACCAAGTTTCAAGTGCTTTCTTCTTAATCTCTCCGTGCCTTCTCAATCGCGTGATTTATCGTTGCGCGAACGATTGAAGAGAGACCGAACTCCGTTTTTGCTCGCGAGAGACTATCCGCGGTGACGTTTTGACAGTGAAACGAACGGAGAAAATGCGACGATACGCTGGTAACAGCAGTGGTAACGTAAACGCGGGGTCCGTCGCGTCGCCGTCGCGGGTCTCTCGAAAGTAAAAAACCAAGTTTCGTCGTCGAACGACATTCTCGATTTATCCGCGAAGCTATTATTATTTATCTATTTATCGGTATTGTATACTTATCTTCTTTTCGACGGGCGACCGGTACCGGGCTCGCGCCCGACAAGTCGAGAGACCATAGCACGTTTCTCGCTCGTCGCGCGCCCGTCCGCCGTTGGCCCTGCTTCTCTTTACTTACGATAGCAACGCGTAATCGAATGTATTTATTTCGTAACAAAGAGCCGTGCACATGTATTATCGTTTCCCCTTTCTCCACGCAAGGATTCTTACGCGGTCGTTTGGTGTGAGTAAACATTGTTTGTAACACAATGCATTCGTATTCGACATAAGTAGTCTTTTTATACTCTTGCATACTCTTGATTAATAAAATTTTGTAAGCAAGACGCC